AGATTTTTGTAATATCCTTTCTATATCCTTTTAAATTCTGTAAAATCTGTGGTAATGTCTCCTAGATCTTAATATTGTAATTTAAAAAATGTATAACTGATATTGTGTAACAGGAAGAAAAGGTCTAAAAGAGCAGGGGAATTGGGAGGGTTAGAGGAAGGGAAAAAAGGGAAAGGAAAAAATATAAGAGAAAAAAAATGGAAACAAGATCTTTGCAAATAGGGAAGGGTGGAGGGGGTGAAGGGAGGGCAAGGGATGGGGGAAAAAAAAGTAAGAACCAAGAGACTCATCAAATGGTACAAGATCCCAATGATGAATGTAACTGTATTGTATACCTAAAATGTACCAATAAAGTTAATGGGGAAAAAAAATGGGGAGAAAAAATAGAAAAATAACTTCTGGGTTAGTTTACTTCACCACCATCAAGTGCAAGATTTTTAAAAACTCAAATAAAATGTAAGATCTTGTTGCTTTTCCTCCAAATAGAATCAGTCACATTGGTGTTTTTCTTCTAATTCTTTCAAATCATGACACCACTGAATCAAGAGATAAAGCCTTGGTGATGGATAAAGCACACAGCACAGTCCAACCAGCTCTGAGTATAGATGCACTGGGGCCTCTGGGGCAGCCCTTTATCCTTTGGTTCCAGCAACAGTGATGTGGTACCACCGCTCATCCTCTCCCTGCCCTGGGGGACAGCTTGTTGTGGTGCTGCCTGTGAGGGATTGCCTGGGCCTGCTGGCTGCTACGAGCATGCATTGGCACATGGCTTTCTTCCCTCCCTCGCTCCCTCTTTCTGTTCCTCTTTATCTTCTTCTCCCTTATCTCCCTTCCTACTTAACTGTCTCTCACTACTGTTTCCCCTGTCACATTCAGGTTCCTTTCTGGCCTCATCTCCAACTTCCCATCTTAGAAGTATTGTGATTTTCTGTAGATGTATTTACATCATTACGACTGTGTAAATATGCTTTATAGCTGAGTTGTGTCATAGCCTGTGATTTCTTTCTTGCACAAGTGTTTGCTTTACCTGGAAGTTAATAATTATCTTGTTTGTTTTTATAGTCTTCTGTAGTATACCTAGCCTCATTTATTTTGAGGCTCTCTCCAGGTTATGTAAGTTTTCTTTTAGTATGTTCAGTTGTGTCGGCCTTTTTCCTGACACTCACAGAGCCTTCTGACCTGCTCTGGTATGGACACATTGCCCTCTACACTATCATCCTGGGATCTCTTTTTTTTTCCCCCCTTTGGCACCCTCTTTGGTTTTCAAGTTGGATATCATCTCCTTTCGTGGATCATTCCCTTGTTTTAGGAAAGCATATCTTCTGATAGACTCATAAGAAAAAGTCCATGAGACTTTGCTTTTTTTGTTTGTTTGTTTTTGTTTTTTTGAAGCAGGGTCTCCATTGGTAGTTCAGGCTGGCCCTGAACTCACTATGTAACCCAGACTGGCCTTGAACTCGTGATCCTCCTGCCTCAGCCTCCCGAGTGCTGGGATTACAATTACACACCAGCAAGCTTGGCAAGGCTGCATTTTTGAGACTGTATCTCTGAAACTGTTTTAATTAAATGTAGTTCATAGTTTAGTTGGGTGCACAAGTATTAAGTTGGGAATAATTTCCCACTAGAATTCTGAACGCTTAGCTCTGTTGTTTTACCGCTATTGAGAAGTCAGATGGCATTCTGATTCTTGTTTCTTTGTCTGAAATGTGTTCTTTCTCAGTACTGGGGTCCTAATTTTCTGTATTCTGTCACTTTCCCATCACTGGGACAAAATATCCGATATCCACAACTTAAAGGAGAGGTTTATTTTAGCTTACAGTTTCAGAGGTGTCTCAGTCCATGAATACATGGTTGGCTGGCTCCATTGCAGAATCTGCATGGCAGAGCAGAACTGCTCAACCCGTGGCAACTAGGAATCAGAGAACAGAGGAGATGGGGGCAAGAATTCTTTATCCTCCTGGGTCATGCCTCCATGAAAAGCCTCTAACCAGGACCCACCTTCTATCAGCACATTTAGCCATGAACTCATCACTGGATTAATCTGTGGATGAGCATAGTGTCCCTGTGGTCCAGTCACCTTCCAAAAGCCCCACCTCTGAACCCATGAGACTTTGGGGGGACAGTTGAACTCCAAACCATAACATCTTGTAGCTCTGTAGAGTGCTTGCTTTTCTTCTTCTAATTCAGATAGTTGATCTTTTTAACTTATCCTCTAATTTTTTTTCCTTTCAGTTTTCCATCTCTTTACTAAATCTTTTGGTAAATTTACTTATTTTTTTAAACCTACTTAATTTTTTATATTGTCTGTCTTCTGAGAGGTATTTTGTTTTTGGCTTTGTGTATGTGCATACATTGGTGGGGTGGGGGGATATAAAAGAAATAAGACATTTTTCTGAGGAATTTTTTAAAAGGCTCTCCTCTGAGTTACTTCTTCAGTTTGTTTGGCACTTGTTTGTAGAAAGTTGGCCCCCTCAAGTATCTGGTGATTCCAACTCTAGTGTTCCACTGGAAATTCTGTGTTCTCAAATGAGCCTCATTTTCTGTGGGCTTTGGGTAGGGTGATCTGGCTGGGCTATTCTGTTGGGAAATCTGTGATGTCTGCATTTTTAGGTCTCATCACATTTGGGAGAGAAAGTATAATCTGTATTCTGGAGCTGGGTTGGGAAACTCAGCATTTAGAATGTAGATGTCACTTCCTGTTTTTAGTACAGTACAGTTGCCATGTAAGAGGCCTTTATCTTTTGGTTTTTTTTGTTTTTTAATCTTTTGCTTTTTACTGAAAGGTATATTGTGTAGAGAGTCAAATAATGAAGTCAAAATGAAGGAAGAGATCTGACATCTAACTGCTTTGAATACAGGCTTTAAACCCTTTAAAAAAGGGTTCCTCCTACTTTTATATCCACCTTCACTTATATTTTCAGAAGTATCAGGTATCATGAATCTCTAAGACTTTTAGGGGTAATATGGAGAAAATTGGGCATCTTACAGACTTTTCCTCTATTAGCTTAAAAAGATTCAACTTTCTTTGGTCAGCTAAGTCAGTTACCATTTGTACATCTGGTTTCCAGCTACAAACATTTCTCTCCTCTTTTTTTACCTCTGGTTTATGTGATTTTATTTATGTTTTTCAAATCCCTTAGTGGTAGTTTTAGTGAAACTTAGAGTAGGATTAGAAGCTATAGTAAGCCTCACCTTTAACCACAAATCCCAGGCATGAGATTTGCTTCAGTGTACCAAATACTATGCAGAACTGATTTTATTTTGTCAGTTTTTTGTTTATTTTAAAAATACTTGCTTTGCTTTCCTAGGTGCCGACCTTTACAGTTTCAGCCGTCAAAATCTCACAAGAAAGTTTTAAAAAAAGTGTTGAAATTTCTGGCTAAAGGGGAGATTCTCAGAAGAAATTGTGAGGGTAAGATGAGATTGGGTGTAAAAACTATTTACTTTAGATGGATGTATCTTTTGAGGGTTCTTACTTTCAAACATCACATGTTAGGTGTGGGGAGAGAGATCATGTACCACTCCGTGGTAACAAAGACTGTTAGCATTGACATTGCCAATACTACAGGCCCCACATATCAGGGTTATAGGAAATACTGTATATGCCAGGATAGTCTAACTTGGAAAGAAAATTGGAGATCATTTTAAAGATGTGATTTCCTGAATTTTATTGAAATTTTGCTTTTGTTTGCTAGTAATATACAGTTTTTTTGGTGTCCAGGAATTATGTCCTGAGTTTTGACAGTTAATATGCAGATAAACTATGAGGATGCTGTAAATTGATGATTTTGTAAGCATCAAAATTCATAGTTTTCTGTCTTTTAGTGTAGCTTTCACATTTGGTTATTTGGCTTATTTTGGATTTCTTTATTTGACTTATCAGCTTCTGAATTGTTTGTTCCTGGTATTTAATTCACTAGGGTAAAAGCTTAAACCAGCTATGCAAGGACTGAGCAATATTAGAAGTTTCTTTCTTTCCTCACCTAACAGCCCAGGTCAGCCTGCAGCTTTGTGGCCTGCGCGACTCCCCTCAATATGTTATTTTCAGGGTCACTCTGTTTTTTCTTGATGCAGCCAGTGGAGAGGGGAATGGTTGGAAGTTCTAGATCATAATTTTACTTTTAGACAAGTAAGACAAAATTAGACATATCAGTTGTCTTATATTCCATTGTTGAGAGCTTGGTCACAACTTGCAAGGGGACTGGTGGTGCATTTTTCTGCTATGGTGCCACAGTTTTAAGTGTAGCTCTCTTACTTTGAAAGGTGAGAGAATGGACTCAGTTGCTACACAGTAGTCCTTGCTACAGTGGATAATAGGGGCATTATATAGTCTGATATTTATCTCACTGTGTCAAATCACCTGGCTGATGGGCTTTTTTCTTTGGATTTGTAGACGAGCCCATGGATTCCACAATGGAAGATTCTGTTGCGGGTGACTTTGCATTAATAAATAAATTGGATATAAAGTGTGATCTTAAAATGCTCAGCAGTGATCTCAAGGAGAGCTTAGAGAGTGAAGAGAAGAAGAAAGAAAAAAACTCCAAGACAGAAGAATCTAATGAATTAACTCATTCACAAGCTATAGAAGATAAGTTGGGCTCTGGTGAACCATTACATTCAATTAAAGTTCATATGGTTCCTAAGCCAGGTAAGTGAACATTTGATAGCAAGTCGTGATAGCTGCTTTTCTTTTTGCTACCTCATTGTAACCCTTGGTCTCTGCTGTCAGCCAAAAAGATGATCTATTGGTAACATCTGTAAGATAGAGTCCTGTTTTATACAAGATACTGTTACCTGGGTTTAGATGGACAAATTATATCTTTTTAAAGTACTGGGCTTAAAAAATCTGAAATAATAGCTTTATTTCCCCAAATACATTTTAAGAGTTCCATCTCGTCTCATTACCCAACAGCCTTAGAGGTTTGAGAATCATGTTTTTCTGAGTGGAAGGTTTGGTGATAAACATTGTTTTTTTTTTGTTTTTTTTTTTGGTTTGAGGATCGAACTCAGGACCTTGTGCTTGTGAGGCAGGTGGTAGCACCACTGAGCTAAATTCCTGGCCCTAAACATTGTTATTTTGGGCATTATAAGACAGTGTAAACTATAGGTTTTAGTGCAAAATATATTAATTGTGAAATTCTTCAGTTTATCATTAAATTTTTATGTAATTATAATACATTTTAATTTAAAACTACCCAGATTTTAATGTTTAACTTCATCATATTACGGTAAAAATATTTCCCTCTGTTCTCCCTTGTAAAAGAATTAGGTTTAAAAATGTGTCCAACATTGCAATTTTACCATATAAAATGTGTATGTGTATGATTTTTTTTTTTTTTTTTGTACTGAGGATCGAACTCAGGTCCTTGCACTTGCGCAGCAGGTGGCAAAACCACTGAGCTAAATCCCCAGCCATGTGTATGATTTTTTAAAAAATTACACATAAAATGTGAAGTTGGACAGTTTTATTTAGTTTTTATGTTGATTTATTTGAAATGATCGAAGAGAAAGATTTTTAGTATTATTTTAGTTTTTATTGTCTAAACTATATTACACAAGTTAAAATGCAGAAAATGTTTTCTTTGTACTTTCATTAAGTTTTTACAGGATTGAATTATATTTAAATTGACGTTAGTCTGAGATTTTTTCCTACTTAATTCAAATAGTTGAATAAAATACTATAAATGATTTCAGAGAATTTCTATTTTTATTCTCATGTGAGAGGTTCTTTTGTTTTTACTTTTTATCCTAAAAATTAGTTTTAGTTTGTTAAATTAGAAACCTTTGTTGAAAAAAATTTGAAATATAATGGAATTAATATGAGAAAATGAAAAACTGGAAACAAAGTCTTTGTAAATAGGGAGGGATGGAGGGGTTGAAGGGAGAGCAGGGGAAAGGGGAAAAAATAAGAACCAAAAGAGTATGTAAAGGTGCATATCTCCATGGATGAATGTCATTATATTGTACACCTAAAATGTACCAATAAAAGGATATACAAAAAAAAAGAATTTGAAATATAGGGGAGTTAGATTCAATCATATAACGAATCTGTTCTCATTTGAAACATTTAATCATGATAACCACTTTTCTTTCATCTGTACCCAAATCTAGTTCTCTCTTTCAGTAGTATATTTAAGCAATTTCTAGACATTAATGCTGTCCTATATTTCAGAATTCATCTCTAAAAAATAAAAATTTTGAAAAACATTAACAACACTATTACACCTGAATAAAATGTCTTAATACTACTGAATATTCAGTGTTCAAAGTCCAGTTTTTAAATATTTCTAGTGTCAAGATCCAGATAATTGGCCCATGCAATTGGTTGATGTATTTAAAGAATCTTTTTTGTTCTACACATTTCCCTTTCATTTTCCCCCATTTTTTACTTGCATGGTATTACTTGTTGAAGGAAGTGAGTTGTTTGTCTTGGTTTTTTGTCTTCCTTCTATAGGTGGCTGATTACATCTGCAATGTGGTTTAACCTGTTCTTCTGCCCTCCTGTAAATTGATCCTTGGATGTAGAGCCTTTGATCAAAATCAGGGCTAAATTTTTTCCTTCGTTCCTCTCTCTCTCTAGTCTTAATCAGATTGGGGGATTTGAAGATGGGTAAGGTTACTTTATGGGTGATTGTTCTTTCAGGAGATACATAATGTCTGGGTGCCTCTCTTTTTATTAGTGCTAATAGTGCCTAAATCTATGTATTCTTTAAACATTCTAATTCCAGCATTTATTCCTTATTTATTGTTTGGAATATTTTCATAAAGAAACTTCCCCTCATCTATTTCCTTTCCATAAAACCTCAAAGAAAAGGCTGGATAAGTTTTTAAATATTTTTATTTATCATTTTTCAAGATAATATCTTCTAATAGTGTTCGGTTAGGGTTCCTTGTTATCATTGTGAACTCATGGATCTAAACATACTTTTTTGTTGAAGTTTTTTTTTTTTTTTTCTTGGGGATTGAACTCGGGTCCTTGCACTTGTGAGGCTGGTGGCAGAACCACTGAGCTAAATCCCCAGCCCCAACATACTTTTTTGTTGCATTCCATTCTTCCTGTGATAGCTTCTTTAAGTTGGCTTCTGTGTTTTTTTTGATACAGTCCTCATAGTCTTTGAGAGCTTCCTTGTTATGATGTGACATGATGGTTATAGATTTTCTTGTGCCTACATTTTCTCAACTAGCTCTCATTCCAAATGATATTGGAGATCACAGACTAGACTTTATTGCTGCAGGTTTGGTCATTGTTTTCTAGGTCTTCTTAGTGAACAGATTTATGAGGTCATGACTTCATGACTACTTTTCAGATTCAGAACAATAGTATTTTTGTTTTTATTTTTTTCTTCTGTACAGAAAAACCTGATTCTCAAGGACATAGACACTGATGGTGAATCTTATAGAGCTTTCAGTGAAAACAAACAGCCCACTGAGGCATGTGTACCATAGGTTCGCCACCCCTGAAGAGGGGATAGTAGAATTAGACTGGAATATCACCCAGCTACCTGTTCCTTATCCGACATTACATAACAATTTTAGAGTAACAATAACCTTCAGCAATGTGATACTGAAGCATGCATTAAACACTTTTCATGTAGTTTTTTTTTTTCCCGTTAGGTTATCTTTCACTATGAATCTGAGACTTTTTTTTTTTTTTTTGGTACCGGGGATCGAACTCGGGTTCTTGCGCCTGCCCAGGAGGCAGTGAAACCACTGAGCTAAATCCCTGGCTGACTAATTTGAACTATAGGAGTTTTTGGATCTTCTTTAGAACTTGCATTTCTATCTTCTGTTTTAAAAATGTTACCAATATATAGTCCCTTGGACTTAATTAGAAATAATTCAGATGTACTGTTGTCTAGTCAAGTCACTTGAGACTAGTCTAAAATCCTTGAGTTGCTAAACCTCTGTGGGTTCAGGATTGTTACGGTAAATGATTTTACACTGATGATCTATTTATGTTCTGCTGAGGGAGTTTATTGATCTGGAAGATCTGTATTCTCTAAGCTGGAACCCCGATTTGTACTAAGTAAAAACAGTGGTATATACATTTGGAGAAACACAATCAAAGGATTGCTTAGTCCAGTGAATGAATTGTAATGTGAAAATGGTGTCATCTTTCATAAAAATACTGAAAATTTGTGCCTTTGAGTTTACTCCATAGTTTTATAATTTGTTCAGAGTTTTAAAATTTTGGTAAAGAATGCAATTTTCAGTAACTATTAGAAAATGAAGGATTTTTTTTCTTACTGTTTCTGAAATGATTTCTTAGGTAAAAACTTACTTCAGGTATGTTGATGCAAATATAGATAATAAGAGATAAACCTGATAGAATGGTAGGATACTGTTTCATGAGGTATACATGCATTAATTCGTTTATTCCTCAGAGGAACACATAGGTAAGGCTGATAATTATCTTTCTTGCATAGACAAGGAAACTTGCCAAGGTCATCCAGCAGAGTGACAGAGCTAGTCCATGGCCTCAGGTGTCTTGTGTCAAAGTGTGTGCTGCTAAATTTTGTGCTTTTCAGAAAAAATTTGAGAAAAGACACAGTCCTTGAGCCAAGACAGTTAATTCTATAAGGCAGTAGTGTTAATGGTCAGTTAAAGAATCAGTCTTTTATTACCTGGGTTATTAGGTTTATTCAAGGTCTTCTTAAATGGGTAAACTTTGCTTTTACTTAGAAAATATATTAGTGAAGTTGTAATATGACCTTAGTGTGTGTGAACTTGTGGTCTGTGGCAAGTCCCTCTGCCAATTTGGCCTTAATTTTCTTCTCTATAAAAACTGGATTTGCTGGTCTTAGAATCTTTCTCATTGATGACTTGTATATGATTTATGAATTCTGTGTTTTTGGATCTTAAAAAATAGCTTATTTCTTTGTTTCATTAATAGCTTGTTAAAAATTATAAGAGTAAATTTTTATTATAGACATTTTTGAGAAGAAAAAACCATGGAAGTCTTTTCTGTTTCTAAACCCAAGGAAAATAACTGTTAACATGTCATACTTTTTCAATATTTTTCTAAGTATTTTAAGTGTATGTATACATAACAGGAGTTACATTTTTAAACATTGTATAATGAGAAATCCTCTAAAATTTCTAAAACATTAAAAATGGTTGTAAATATTCTGTTGTTTAGCTGTTCTAGAAGTGATTCTTTAATTGGATAGATTATCTTGAGGTCTTCATTTGTGTTTGGCATTATTTGCCTTTATCACTTACGATTTTTCTCAGAATAAACTCTTGAAGACTTAGTAAATTAAAGACTACTAAGATTTGTAGTTGTTTATTGTTAAAATTTTTGTATCTTAAAGGGTTATTATCAGTTTGATATATGGTCTTTTACTCAGAACAAAACTCTTAACTGGAACTGAATCGTATCTGGAGAGACACAAAAATATGTTAATCTAAGCAAGCATGTTTTTCATTAGAAAAATAAGTCAGAGGGTCGGGGATTTAGCTCAGTGATGCCACTGCCTGCCTCGCAGGTGCAAGGTCCTGAGTTCGATCCCCAGTACCACAAAAAAGAAAAGAAAAATATGTCAGAGTCTGTTCTGGGATCAGTACTCACTGGTTCCTTAGTATTTCTCTGTGTTATCAGTGCTGTTAGAGAAAAGCTGCTAGAATGGGTGCCAGAGAACCAGAAGACACTTGATTTGATTATGTTCTTTCTACTTGAAGAGTCAGTGAAGTGAGTGGATATTACAAACGAAAGATTTTCAACAATAAGAGCTGCCTTGGGATATTTCTGAGACTATTTATTTTCTTTGGCAACTCCTGCTTCTAAGGTGTTTGCGATGAGTTTAGAGCCTCTGTATCAGGATCATGTGAAACATCTACCCAAGAGCTAACCTAACTTTGGAATTCTTTAGACTTTCCTGTAGCATCTTCGAGACTCATAAAAAAAAAATTTCCAGGGCCAAATGTGATTGGTCTAATGTTTGGAAATTCTTTTTAGGCAAAGGGGCTGATTTGAGTAAGCCTCCATGTCGAAAAGCCAAGGAAATCCGAAAAGAAAGGAAAATGTTAAAACTCATGCAGCAAAACCCAGCTGGAGAATTTGAGAGTTTCCAGGCTCAAGGTCAGCCACCAAAGGCTAAATCCAACCAGCCCAAATCACTTGAAGATCTAATATTTGAATCTTTGCCAGAGAATGCATCACACAAGTTGGAGGTACTTGGCAGGGGTTTTATTGTTTGGTTGTTTTTGTCTTCTATTGAGTTCTTTATTTTTTTGAAGTTATAGTTACTGGTTGATGTTTTGCAGTTTCAATAAGAAATAAAAGGGAATTGGGTATAGTAACATTTGTATTTACTAAATTAACTGCTATTTTTAAGTGTTTTTTGAAAATACTTTAGGGAACTGGCCATCAAAACAATACCAGTTTTAACATGTTATTAAGGAGGGTATCCTGGCTTTTTGTATCCCTTGATTGAAATTAAGTAGTTAAAACAAGAAAGACAATTTTTAAAATTTGATTTTAGAAATTTACACAGTAGGGCTGGGGATTTAGCTCAGTGGTTTCAACACCTGCTGCGCAAGTGCAAGGACCCAAGTTCGATCCCTGGTACCAAAGAAAAAAAAAAAAGAAATTTACACAGTAAAAGATAGTTTAGATAGTAAAAGAGAATAGATCATACCAGACAAAGTGCTGTTTTATCCGTAATAAAATCTTGATATTGATCAAGGCGGCAACTCCTGTTATATATGTAAGCCAGCAGTTGGGGATTAACTAAGTCATTAAATTATAGTACTAAAATCCTTTCTCATGAAGTACTCCCAACCAATTTAGGAGTAATATGAATAATAATATGAATAGTGTGAATATTTTTTAGGAATAATATGATTGTTTTTAGAGCTAAATTCCTCTTTTGTCCAAACTTATTTGCATTTCTAATCAATCCAAATTCCTCAGTGTTAATTTTGTACATGTAACATTCTTTTCAGCTGGGTGCAGTAATGTGTACCTGTCATCTCAGCTACTTGGGAAGCTGAGGAAGGAGGATTGCAAGTTCCATTCCAGTTTGGCAAAGACTGTCCAAAAAAAAAATTCTTTTCTCAAAACATTAGCCATAATGATTTTGTCATATTTTCATATTTGATTAGTAACTGGTCAGCCTTTGAATTTATAGTTTAGTGTCTTCTAAGAATATTACTTAATGTTATACATAATACAAAAATTAACTTTGATGTATTCTGAATCTTCAGGAAATATATATATTATCAGACATATTTTATGTTAACTGCTTAAATATTTTATGAAGAGGCTTTTATCTTTTGATAAATACAAATACAAATAGTAATGTATTCAGGGAATCAATGACACCTCACATAATAGTTCTAAAGCAAAAGGCATCAACTTTTACTTTTTTAATGTAATGTGACCCAGAATGTGTAGAGGTTTCTTATCCACTAGGTGTCACTCTTTGTTTACAGAAGAATTTGTCCATGGGATACATAGAAAGTTTCTATTATGCCTTTAATGTATTACATTTAATTTTGTTTCACTAATACATTTTAACTGGTTAGTACATGATTAATGTTAAGATATGTTAGTCTTTACTCTGTACTCATCCTCATTTTTAACTCATCCTCATCCTCATTTTACATATGAAAGAGCCAGTTCACAGTGAGTTTAGTTTAGCAAAGATAGTGACATCATAAGATTTGAACAAAGGAAATCAGACTTCAGACTCTTCATTTTAAACTATGCTGTGAAATAAGAACATGAGTGTTGTCTTTTTTACTTATAGAATAAAGTTATAAGTTTAGAATTACTAATGATAAAAGTGGCCAAAAGATAGTCCTATTTTCAATCTTTGATTGATGGTGAGTTGTGTGCTAAAATTAAGCAGAGTATATTTATGTTTGTGTCATGAATGCTGGAAGTATCCTGCCTGTTTATAATATAGGCAGGCCTATATAATTCAGTTATCAGAAGCAAGCCTTAGAATTTGGAGGGAATCCTCCTTTACTTTCCTAAGAAGTCTGTAAGTAGCAAAAATTACTTTTGTTTACAAATTTGTTTTTTACTCTTAAAATATTTTTAATATTTGTTGAAACATTTTGGTTTTTGATTGGGAGTTACTGTTAATGTATATTCCACAGAATGAATAAATGAATAAATGAATGAATTAATGAACATTGTTTTTTAACTCCTTCTGAAGGTGAGGGTGGTGAGATCATCTCCACCAAGTTCTCAATTCAAAGCCACATTTCAGGAGTCTTACCAGGTCTATAAACGTTACCAGATGGTTATTCACAAGGACCCACCTGATAAACCAACTGTGAGCCAGGTCAGCAGGCCAATTGTAATTTTTCTATGCACACAGAACTTTCCCTTCCATTTCATATTATTGTATGAAACCTTGGTTTATTTTTGGTGCATTATATTCATATTCAATCTGTAGCATATCTGAATAGAGAAAGGAGTGTGAGTTAATGGACATTCTGAAAGTGCAAATTTTACTTCGGGCTGTGTTAAGTGCCAGTCACGTGTAATTTCAAAGTGGAAAGGAGGATGTAAAGTTATCTTTATTTAAAGTTATTATTTCTGGATGAATTTATCTGAAAGTGAATAATAGAACTCTAAAATAAAATATCTATGAAAAAATTCAAATTTTGATGGTAGGCATATTTTGTCTGATGTGTTTTATATGTTTTATTCATCTTCATAACAGCTAAATTATTCTTTATTAATGTATTACCCAATCACAACTGAGCAGGACTAGAAAAGTAAGGCAGTAGAGTGTTTTGATAGACATCCTCGTATGTATTTACTTTCATAAGTCAAATGATCCAAGAAAAATCTGGAAGGGAAAAAAGCTTAAAATGCTTACTATAAGTAAAGATTGCAAAAGTAGTGGCCATGACCACCGTTAGCAACAGTATTAACTAGTGAGGGTTGGCTAGAGAACCACATAGGTGGATAGAGAAAAAACTGTATAATTCAGTCATCAGAAGCAAAAAAAAAAAATTCTCCTGCCCTTGTGAGTTTAAGATTTTTCTTTGTGTTAGTGTAAAGATAGCACTCAGGCTATGTGCCGGTAAGCTCTTCCAGGATTTCTTCTGTTCGTGACATATTTCAGCACTGAGCTTTGGAAGTGGATTTGCGGAGATCTTACTCTAGCCTCACCTTCAGAAGCATATCATTAGGTAGAGATGTTTCAATAGCATTTGCTTGTATTTTCCTTGCTCTGAAGGTGAGGTTAGTACCTGTCTCCTTTGAGGATCCAGAGTTCAAGTCGTCCTTCAGCCAGTCCTTTTCTTTATATGTCAAGTATCAAATGGCCATACACCAGGATTCACCTCATGAATGTGGGAAGACCCAGGTACTGTTTGTTAAATGTTTTTTTCTACTTGACAAGGTTATCTGTAAAGCATTTTATGCTATTTGCTTATCTTTTAAGTAGGGCTCATATTCCTTTCAGTGTGTATTGCTGAACTTTTGTGAAAACAAGACATATATGTATGTGAGCATTTAATTTTTTTTTAAGAGTAGGAAAAATTTATTGAGAGAAAGATAGCTTCTAAGAGAGACAGAAGGGGGACTGGAAAGTGAGTTGCCCCTGTATGTGAGCATTTTAAATCCCCCAGAAACAAGGATTGGAAGTTCAAAATATGTTCTATAAAGTGTTCAGTTGAGGAAGGTGAGTATAGCATGTTTATAAGTTTTGTTGTGCAGCCTAATTCAGCAGACATTACTGAATGCCCATGGTTTGTCACAGGACAGACTAAAGAGTCTGTCTTTAAGGAATTGATGATCCAGTGGGCAAAACAGACCACTAAGCAAAAATATCTCAACATGAAGTGAGTGGGAAAGAAATATATTGAGATTTTTTAAATAGAGCATGTTGATATTTTTATATAGAGCATCATTTAACAATATGTAAAATAATATTTTACAATGATTTATATGGAGCATAACTAACATTTACTGAGGACCTGTATTTCCCAGATGAGATATTGAATGAATAAAAGATTGGATAAGGACCAGGGATTTAGCTCAGTGGTGCTACCGCCTGCCTCGCAAACGCAAGGTCCTGAGTTCAGTCCCCCCCAAATAAAAGACTGCGTAACTATCTCAATGGGAAACATTGTTGAAGAACGGTATCACTAGATACAGAGAAGTTAGTTTTGATTTTTTGTTTAATGGCTTTTAATGACATAGAATGTGTAAGTTAAAGAGAAGAGTTAATGCTGCATGTTGCCTGAGAGAAGGCTGACTCCTAGGCTGCTGGAGTCTTCTACTTAAAGAGTGCTCTACACTGATAAAACTGTAGCCCCATTGACTAGATTCAACAGTTACTAATTTTTTCCTTTACTTTGTCTTTTTTCTGTGTTAATCATTTTAGCTTAATTATATATTATGACATTTTACATCTAAATTCTTTAATATGCATCTCCAAAAATGAGACATACTTCTACAAAATAAATGTAATTATAGATCTAAGAAAATTTATTTTTGAATATATAGTATCTAGTACTTACATTTTCCTATTTTTAAGATGTTAATATCTCATCAATGTTCATGTATTATATTTTGTTATACTATTATAGATTGTTGTATTCACAACAGTTTGTACCTTTTAACTTGTTTCACATTGGTGTATTTCCCCAACTTTTTACTTTGAAACTTTCAAAGTATTTGAACAGAAAAGTTGAAAGAACACAGGGAGCACCCAGATACCATTCACCAAAATTCACCAGTTGTTAAGAACTAAATCAAATTTGATTTTTTTTCTTTCTTTCTCCTTTTTTGCCTGAACCATTTGAAAATAACTTGTGGATTTAATGACACGTTGCCTGTAAATGTTAAACATACTCTTTCTCATACTCATTTGTATAATTCTCCTATATTCCTTATAAGTTAACAAATTCTTTAATACCGTAAACCATATTCACATGTTCCAGTTATATACCCAAATACCTTTTATAGGTTTTAAGAAAAAATACAGGGTCCATTCAAGGTTCACACGAGCTGCTATGTTCATGCTATGTTTATAATATGACCATTAGGTTCTTTAGGTTTTTTTATTTGATGACTTTTTTAGTCTGTTGAATGTCTTACCTTTAGAATTTGTTTCCTAGTAATTAGATTCTTAATCTTAAAAGTGTACGTTTCTTGTTGTGCATGGGTTTATTACAAAACCTTTTATTGAAGTGTAATATACATACAGAAAAGCACATATGTGTTTAGATAGATGAAATTTCACAACAGAACTCACTTGGGCAACCAGTTCTCAAATTAAGGAATTGATTATTACCAGCACCCCAGGAGTTCCTTCTGGTCCTTTTCCATCACTAGATGTCTGTGTCAGCACTGGAGGCACTTTTCTGGCCTGGATCGCAGAGCACATCCTCTTCGCTGCTCTTCACATTGTTTGAAGCAGCATTCCTCCAGTTTTTCTCCATTTGTGTATAGACATAATCATTACATTCAGTGTCCCTTACTGTTTGTTTTTACAATTTTTAAAAGTCTTTTGAAAAATTAATAAACTTTATTTTTCAGAGTTTTGGGTAAAGACTTGGGGGGAACAAGTGTATATATTTTTAAGTCATATCTCTAGAATTAAGTAAATCTGAATTACATATTTTTACTTTAATTACAAAAACCCCCTTAAAAATGAAAATTTGAAGCCATCAGAGGGATAGAGATGATTGTCTGCTGACTTTCCCTTCTCCAGACTCTTGTTTGCCCAGAACTCAGCTTCAGCACTGTTCACACTTGGTCAACCTTATTCTCCTTGCATTCTTTGTTGGAGTATCTGAAAACACATCCTGGATATTACAGCCTTGTTAGCTGTAAATATAAGTTGATAGCCAGTGTAGAAATTAAAGGGGAAAGTTTCCTGGTGGGCCCATTTTTGACCCAGGGAGACAGAAAAGGACTGGGTTTTGGACTCCAGTCTCTAGGTGATGATCTAGGGCTGTAACACGCTTATTCTTTCATCTTAGCTCAACTCTCTCCCTGTGTGGGATGTGCAGCTTGTGTGCACACAGCCCAAGAAATATGGATAGTTTTCTTCCATTTATTAGAAATAATTTTCACTAGACATTAATGTGACAACTGCAGATGATTTTTTGCTTGTAAACTTTTTAAATATGTTCTAGAACTTAACCGAGAGAAGCCTTCAGCTTTCTTTTCTTTTCAATACTGGGGATTGAACTCAGGACCTTGCACTTGCGAGGCAAGCAACAGCACCACTGAGCTAAATCCTCAGCCCTTCAGCTTTCTTTTTTTAGTAGTTTTACTGTATATATGTGTAAATCATGAAAACTTACAATTGAAAATTATTCAGTGTATCAGAGAATTGACATTCTCTTTCATTTATGGAGAGACTGATCTCATATAGATATGTACTATTTTATAGATGTTTAACTCTTGCATAAGTAGCTGAATATGTTGATGGCAAGATCTGAGTATTTAATATTCATGTATTTTTTGGGAGGTCTTGGGTTAACCTCAGGGCCTCACACATGCCAAGCAACAGTTTCCTCACTCTCCAGTCCCTAAATACATTTAAAGCTATGGCTAACATCCATAAATAGAGGGCTTAGGCAATTATTTGTATAATTTAATCAAAAGCTACTTTTTATGAGTAGCCTCTAAGCCAGGGCTCACTGGTGTATTGTAGTCTTGTTTCATGGTCTATACTAAGATGTTTTCTACTTAAGTTAACAAAGCTTTTGAATCATTTACTTAAATTAATTGGCGTAAAGAAGGTACTACTAAATTCCCAGCGTAATATCCCTTTTTGAGGAGAAACAGTGGGGTGGAGTTTTCTTTTGGGGTTTTGTCTTTGGTTGAATGTCTGAAGTTCTGGAGTTCTTGGCATTTGACTCAAGGTCTAAGTTAATATAACAATAACCATTATAGTAAATTTGTACATACTTTTTTCTTTCTGCAAGATGGGGTCTTGCTATGTAGTTCAGGCTAGCATTGAACTTACTATGTAGTCCAGGCTGGCTGCAAACTGAGCAGTCCTCCTGCCTCAGCCTCTGGAGTTAAATATATTGTTTTTTTGAAAGTTGAGGAATGAGACAATGAAACGGAAAGTTATGTGTCAAATGGAATGTCTGGCATGAAATAGATGTTGGTTCTTAATGAACTGCCTGCCTGAGAACAAATATGGTCAGTGATAAGTTATTTGGATTGAATAGTGTGAAGGTGATACCAGTTAGGATGCCATACATTTTGGTCAGAATATTGATGATATGACTGCTGAATAGCATCAAGGGTGGTAACATGAGCTCTGATCAGTCATTTCTGCCTTAAATCTCGGCCTTCCCACTTATTACCTGGATGCTTTAAACAAGCCAGTAATTCCTCAGCTTTTTTTTTAAACTTTAGGTTCTTCATTTGTAAATATGGGAGGCTACTGTAACAGGGTTTGTTGTGAGGATTAAATAAGATCATACTTATAAAGGCCTTTGGCCAAATAATCATTCACTGAACTTTAGTTTCTAGGATTTGGATAGCAATATGCCATTAGGAATCATGGAGGTCAAGAGGAAGTAAGTGATAACTTCTGGTCTACCTAGACAGCATTTACAAATGCAGTTATGTTTTTCCTTGTTTCATTTTCCCATTTTAATTCATTTATTTGTTTGAATTAAAGGTCATAGATGTTTTAAATTTTAACATTAAATTAGAAAATTTGAGTCAGTGCTTTCAAAGAAAAAAGTGGTTTGGTGGATCAATATGTAATTTTAGTCATTAAAATAAGAATTTTTAAGTGTACTTTGATTCATCTCATTATACCACATAAAACATGTAAGAGGCATTATTCATGAAGATGTGTATGTGTATTTCTTAACTGCTTTATTTAGGACTGGGTTCAAAGGAAGAATAGAAGTTTTTTCAGTCTACTGGAAGAGCTTCCTGCTTATACTTGAAGTAGATCTCTCCTTTTTGTTTTTGTTTTGTATTGTTATGTTTTTCACTTTTCAGTACTGGGGATTGAACCCAGGGTCTTTGCACTGAGCTATATTTTTTGTAATTTTTTTTTTTTTGAGACAATCTCATTAAGTCATAAAGTTGCTAAGGCAGGGCTCGAACTTGAGATTCTCTTGCTTCAGCGATTTCTCCTTTTGATAAATTAGCTATATTGGATTATCCAAATCAGTAGCATGCATTGTGCTTGTTATACCACTTAAAAATGCTTTGCTTGAGTCTGAAGAAATACACAGTGCACAGGAGAGTGCTTAGAATGGAACAGGCGGCCAGGGGCCATTATTTAAATGAATGAACAGCTTGAGTTGACTATTTTTAAGAAATACCTGAGAGAACTCAGTTGTTGCCAAATTTTAAACTACTTGTGAAAAAAAT